CGCAACCAAGGGCACTCTATGCACAATGACTACAACAATGCAAATGAATTAAAAAAAAACCAAACAACCAAATTGAAATCGAATGCTATGAAATTGAGAAGATCCAACTTGGTCTCAAAGAAGAGGTATGAGAAAATTCCCTCCACCCCCTTCCTTTCAGAGGTGAGTAAATATAGGTGTGGAGCACTACAATGTTAATGTGCTGATTAGATTTTGCTGAACTGTTTTTCCCCCTCTTTTTTTTTTTATTCTTTGTTATAATAGATGGCTCACTGGGAGAGGAAGAGGGAGAAGGAAAAGCTATATTAAGAAATAAAGGTGGCTCAGATTCTTAAAATATAGCCAATAGCACACTAATGTTCAGACTCCTTGAGAGTCTTCCCAATATGGCAGATATTCTAATAAACCTTGTCTTTGGCTGAAAAAAAAAAAGAAATAAAGGTGCTGTAAAAACAACAAAAAAAACCAGTAATTTTTTTTAAACTTTAAATAAAATAGGTGGGGGGTTGGTTGGATTTATGTTTTATTTCATAGAAAAATGACCAATGTGATGAAAGAATTACTAGGAACTAAATTTGGAATTGATGTTAAAATTGTACTTTTTGACGAATATTTTAGCAATTTTTTTCTTTGAATATTTTATTTTTTCCCAATTACACATAAAAACAATTTTAAGGTTCTTGAAAAATTTTTTTTTGAGTTCCAAATTATTTCCATCTCTCCATCCCTCTCCTCTCCTCTCCCTGAGATATAACCAATTTGATATAGGTTATACATGCACAATCATGCAAAACATTTTCACATTAGCCATGTTGTAAAAGAAAACACGGGACACCCCCCAAAAAAACAACCCACAAAAAAGTAAAAAGTAGTATGCTTCAATCTGCATTCAGACTCTATCAGTTCTTTCTCTGGAGATGAATAGTGTTTTTCATCATCAGTCCTTTGGAATTGTCTTGGATCGTTGTGTTGCTAAGAATAGTTAAATCATTCACAATTGATCATCACACAATATTGCTGCTACTGTGTACAATGTTCTCCTGGTTCTCACTTTACTTTGCATCAGTTCATATAAGACTTTCCAGGTTTTTCTGAAATCAGTCTGTTTGTAATTTCTTATAGCACAATAATATTCCATCACAATCATATACCACTTATTCAACCATTCCCCAAATGATGAACATCTCCTCAGTTTGCAGTTCTTTGCCACCACAAAAAGAGCTATATAGCAGATTTTTCTCAGTATATGTATAGTCAGCTTGGCCCTCTGGGAGGTACCATGTGTTTGTGGCACTTGTCCCGGGGCACAATAGTTCCTAGTTATGTTCTGTATAGATGGTAATAGCAGCTCAGAGGACTGTGCAGTGAGAAGGTCAACCTTGAAGCTCCATCTCTGAGAGGGATCCCTGAACAGGAGACTGACTGACAGGAGGAGGCAAGGGGTGAATTGCCTCTCCAAAGACTGTTCTGCACGTGCTCAATTCCATAAACTATGATATTTAGCAGAACTGTAAATCATCCCTTTGTCCCTTACTCTCTGCCCATCCCCCAAGTAGAAGTGCCAAGGAAAGTGCTCAGCTGTCCCCTTGCCCATCCTCTTACCTGTTGATATTCCAAGAATCTAATGGATTGGGAGAAAGAACCCCTCGGAGTCATTGTGGAAGAGACAGTTGGTGGGGAAGTGAAATGTTGCTGATCTCTAAGCTCATTTCCATGATGCCAGAAGAAGGGTCCTTTATCTGGTATTGTGTTAGAGTAGGAAGGCTTTATCAAAATCAGATCTCTACCTCAAGATATATAACATGTTTTCCTCACAACAAAACCATGAAGTATTTTAACAAGTATTATTCCCATTGTACAGATAGGGAAACAGATTCAGAGAAGTTTAGCAGGTTGCCCAGAATCACACAATTGGTAAGAGTCAAAGCCACAGCTCAAACCCAGGTCTTCTGACTTCAACATCACACTGCTCCATAAACGTGCCTTAAGAGTTTCTGACAGCGGAGCCAAGATGGAGGAGTGAAAGCAGTGACTTGCTTGAGCTCTCCCCCAAACCCCTCCAAATACTCATAAAAAATGGCTCTAAACAAATTCTGAAGCAGCAGAACCCACAAAAAGATGGAGTGAAACAAATTTCCAGCCCAAGAAAACTTGGATGATTGATCAGAAACGTGTATCGCACCAGGGTGGGAGCACAGCACAGCGCAGCGTGGGCGTGCAGGCCACAGCAAACCTGGAGCAGGCCTCAGAGGACTGAATTGCGGGCAGCTGTGGAGGTTACAGATTCCTCAATCCACCAATGCCAAAAACAACTTAGAAGGTGAGTGGGAAAAGTCTGTTTCTGTCGGTGCTGAGAAAGGAAGACGGGGTCTCAGCTCTATTCTCCAACAGCGTGACCCTGGGGGGGGGGTGCTGCTTCCCGAGCTTCCGGCCCACAGACTGAGGGGGAATCCAGTGGCTGATCAGAGAGGGACTGCAGGGATCTCTTCACCAGTGCTGAGGCAAGAATCTCTTGCTTTGCCCGTGTGCGGATGGGTCACAGTGCTGGGCGGCAGTGCTGGGGTGAGGAGGAGCGCTGGCGTGGTGGAGCTTGTAGTGGCTGTGAAAAGGAACCCCTCCTCACAGTTACAGGACAGAAAGGAATACTTGTGGTCACAGGCCAGGAAAGGAGTAACACCTCTCCCCTTACCATACCACCTTGAAGAACTGAAAATTTACAGGTCCCTACAAGTATCTCTGAAAACAGCTGTACAAACCCCTGAAGCTTGGGACAGTACATTCTCCACATTGGAAGCAGATTCATACCTTAACAAAGACTTTAAGACTCAAGTAATTGGCTGGGATCATGAGCAAGCAGCGCAAAAAGAGTCAGACTATATTATCTTACTTTGGTGAAAAAGAAGATCAAAATATACAACCAGAAGAAGACAACAAAATCAAAGCTCCTACATCCAAAGCCTCCAAGAAAAATATGAATCAGTCCCAGGCCTTGGAAGAGCTCAAAAGGGATTTTGAGAAGCAAGTAAGGGAAGTAGAGGAAAAACTGGGAAGAGAAATGAGAGTGATGCAAGAAAATCATGAAAAACAAGTCAACAGCTTGCTAAAGGAGACCCAAAAAAATACTGAAGAAAATAACACCTTAAAAAACAGCCTAACCCAAATGGCAAAAGAGGTCCAAAAAGCCAATGAGGAGAATGCCCTAAAAAGAAATTGGCCAAATGGAAAAGGAAGTCCAAAAGCTACTGAAGAAAATACTTCCTTAAAAATTAGAACAGAGCAATTGGAAGCTAGTGACTTTATGAGAAATCAAGACACTGTAAAACAAATCCAAAAGAATGAAAAATTAGAAAACAATGTGAAATATCTCATTGGAAAAACAACTGACCTGGAAAATAGATCCAGGAGAGAGAATTTAAAAATTATTGGACTATCTGAAAGCCATGATCAAAAAAAGAGCCTAGACATCATCTTTCAAGAAATTATCAAGGAAAACTGCCCTGATATAGTAGAACCAGAGGGCAAAATAGAAATTGAAAGAATCCACAGATCTCCTCCTGAAAGAGATCCCCAAAGGAAAACTCCTAAGAATATTGTAGCCAAATTCCAGAGTTCCCAGGTCAAGGAGAAAATATTACAAGCTGCCAGAAGGAAACAATTCAAGTACTGTGGAAACACAATCAGGATAACACAAGATTTAGCAGCTTCTACATTAAAGGACCGCAGGGCATGGAATATAATATTCTGGAGGGCAAAGGAGATAGGATTACAACCAAGAATCACCTACCCAGCAAAACTGAGTATAATCCTTCAGGGGAAAAAATGGTCATTCAGTGAAATAGAGGACTTTCAAGCATTCCTGATGAAAAGACCAGAGCTAAACAGAAAATTTGACTTTCAAATACAGGACTCAAGTGGAACATGAAGAGGTAAACAGGAAAGAGAAATCATAAGAGACTTATTAAGATTGAACTGTTTACATTCCTGCATGGAAAGATGATATTTGTAACTCATGAGAACTTTGTCAGTATTAGGGTAGTTGAAGGAAAAAAATTGTATGTATGTATATATAGATAGATAGAGGCACAGGGTGAGTTGAAGATTAAGGGGTCATATCTGGAGAATAAAATTAAGGGATGAGAGAGGATGATACTGGAGAAGAAAGAGAGGTAGAATGGGGTAAATTATCTCACAAAAAAAAAACAGAAAAGTCTCTCACAGTGGAGGGGAAACAGGGGAAGGTGAGAGGGAATGAGGGAATCTTATTCTCATAGGATTTGGCTTAAGGAGGAATAACATACACATTCAATTGGGTATGGAAATCTGTCTTACCCTACAGGAAAATAGGGGGAGAAGGGGACAAGAGCAGGGGGTGATAGAGAGGAGGGCAGATTGGGAAAAGGGTAATCAGAACAAATACTTCTGAGGAGGGACAGGGTCAAAAGAAAAAATAGAACAAATGGGAGGGCAGGATAAGATTAAGGGAAATAGAGTTAGTTTTTCACAACATGTCTACTAAGAAGTGTTTTGCATAACTGCACATGTACAACCTATATTGAGTTGCTTGCCTTTTCAATGAGGGTGGGTGGGGAGGGAGGAAGGAAGGTAGAAAATTTGGAACTCAAAGTTTTAAAAACACATGTTTTAAAAACAATGTTTTCACATGCAACTGGGAAATAAGAAATACAGGAAATGGGGTACAGAAGTCTATCCTGCTCTGCAGGAAAATAGAAGGGGAAGGGGATAAGAGAAGGGAGCGGGGAGAGATAGAAGAGAAGGCAGACCAGGGGAAGGGGTATTCAGAATGCATGCCATCTTGGGGTGGGGGGAGGGGTGAGAAATTTGGAACTCAAAAACTTGTGGAAGTGAATATTGAAAACTAAAAATAAGTAAATTTATATTTTAAAAAAAGAGTTTCTGACAGCTGACAGTGTTTCTCCTCCAGTCACCTTTTTTTTTCTGATGTGAAAATGACTCTTACACTAAAAGCATCAGTAAGTATATGAGACCATAATTAAAGCTTTATTTGATATAAAATATGTGAATATATGTACAAATCATTTATATAATAAACATTCCACACTACCATGTTGTATAATCCAGCTACCGTACCCTACTCCCTCCCCCCAATCACCTTGTGCCCTTTTTGCATTTGTCAGCCTTGGAAAAGAGCCAAGGGCTTAGACAATTATTCCAGGGTACTGAACAGCCTAAAAGAGGTATATTGCTTCCTGGAGGGCCAAGCTGACCATTGAGGTACCATGTAGGTGCTGAGAAAAATCTGCTGTAATATTCTATGAAAGGTTCAACTTTAACACCAATTCCAAAAATTCCTTTGTCAAGCTGGTCATTTTTCTATGAAATAAAAACACAAATCCTACAAACTACCAATGTTAAGAGATAGTTTAGCTTTATAAATATAGTTAAATATTTCCCCACCTCACTACACCTGATTACAAAGTCTTTTCTCTCAGAAATAAATATGAAACCCAGACTACCTTTGTTTTGAAATAAAATCATTAATATAAAAAAATAACTACCGAGGTTTTGAATTCCCACTCTCTAATTTGCTGAAACCCTGCAGATGGAAACAAAGTGAAGTGTGACCCATTTCCCTAGGATGATTTTTCCATGTAGATTCATATTAAACTGACATTTCGGAGGTAAATGTTTTGAATGTGTGTGCTCAACTACTGAAACTTGTCCAAATCTTAAGATGGTCTGACAATGTTCTAACATGAAGGTCTGGATGGGTTTCAGAAATAGATTGACTGGTAATCATATCTACAAAATGGCTGGTGTATTTCAGTGTGAGCTTGATTTGGGTTTTGTACCATGACCAAAACTCAGAATTGAACATGTCATTGGTTTCATTGGGGCTGCCATATATAAGCTTGCTTCAAAAATGGAATTTGCATGTAATTGCAAGTACAGAGGGACCGTGTGGCTGCCTGCAAATTACTTTGGGTTATATCGTCTAAGGCACTTTTTGATAAAGATTGAGATCAGTTTCTGGGGGCGTTGCTGATATTCTAGTAAGACTTCATGGGGTGAATTGATCTGGTCACATTCCAGTCTGTTGAGAAGGGTTACACAGACAACAGCAGCTAGAAAATGAAACACAAAACAAAACACAAGCATTGTTATTAGCATGTCACCCTTTGTATATTAAGATGATTTGCATCTCTTATACTAGGCCATATATGTGGAGTTGTTTTTCTTGCATTGGTGCGGAAAAGTCATGCAGTGTAGAATATATTTTGTACTTTTCATGGTGACTCATATAAGGGAGTCTCAAAACAACCTATAATAAGTGTAATATAACTATTTCCCTGCCTCCTTTTGTATAATACTTGATTAAAATGAGGAGAAGCAAAGCAAAATGTACTCTCATATATCTGAAACATTCACCAGGGAGGCAAAGTGTTTGATTTTGCTGTTTAAGGAAGAATCCAAGGTGAGAAGGTCAATGCCTTGGTACAGTACAGAACCTTATATTGTCAACATTAGGGCCAATTATTGATTGCATTTAATAGAGTCACAAAGGAGAAAATGGGTGATGGCCATCTTTTGGGAATTGACAATTTAGTGACAATACTGTCTATACATTATTGCTAAAAGAAATATCCAATGATAAAAAAAAAGTTAAACATAGGTAACTGGACCAGGTAATCACTCCTTCCTTCTGAAATTAAACAAGGAAGAGAAAGATTTTATTTTTGGTTTTTCATCTTAAAACATCTGGCTTAGATGTGGGGAGGAGTATAGTCATAACTAGAAATAGGGCACTAAGGTTTTGTCTACCCTGTAGAGACCCAGAGACTGCTGTGCCCATACCTTGCCAGGGGCAGGAGTGTGAGAGAATCTAGGGGTTGTGGGCTGGAGGAGATAACAGGATCATAGATTTTCACCTGGAAAAGACCTTACAGGTCATTGAATTCAACTCTCTTAACTTACAAATGTAGAAATTGAAGCACAGAGAAATTAATTGACTTGGCCTAAGTCACACAGCTAGTATGTACCTGAGGCAGAATTTGAATCTCCAACTCCAGGTTCAGAACCCTATCATTATACCATGGTGCCTCATCAAGCCTATAGCACTCAATAGTCACTAGCAGTCTCCCCTCCAAGAACAAATCAACTGTGGTCCTGCTTTGCTTCTGAGATCTAAAGAGATGGGTGCATTCAGGGTGGTTTGGGGTGCCCCCTCTCCTTGTGTGACTGTACCTACAGCTGGTCAGTCCTCTGTATATGCTGCTGGTCCCCTACCCCAACTATTTTTCCTTAGGTAAAAAACCAAACCAAACCTAGTTATACATCTGGAGAAGAGACAGTGACCTGTAAAAGCCAGCATGGGAGCAATTCTCAGAATCTACAGAGAAGAATCCTAGATCACTCAATGGGTTGCCTTTCTCTCAATGCTCAATGCTCCTCAATGCTTCCTCTTGGGAAGCTACCTCCTCGGGCCATTGCTAGTCAGAATAAGAAGTAATGAAAATATTCAACCAGGGTGGAATCAAATATTCCACTATTTAGGGTCCTTTTTGTTTCAAACTCACTCAGTTGTGAAGTTGGCTGTCAGAGCAAGGGCAGAACCAAGACATTTTCAGGTTAATGATCACCAAGTCTATGAAGCCCACAGATGCCCATTAGAGAACAGGAAATGTTGACAGTCTCCCTTCTAATCCTTTCCTCTTGGCAGGTAGATAAAAGTATATTCAGTCCATGGCCTTTTCATACCACAAAGTAGGGGGTGGAACCAGGGTTTCTTGGATGTCTTTTCTGATTATTTCAAGGACAAGACTAAAAAGTCCAAGGAGGACAGTTCATAGCCATCTCAGTGGTATTTTTCCGGCCTTGGAGACCCCATTAATAAGTAATGTATAATAATCTTGTCACATAAGATTACAATTTCCAAGAGCAATGAAAAATGGACTAATTACACACAGCTATTTTTTTTTTGTAAAAATTAAGCGTGACAGCTTTGTTACTTTAAGGCACAGATGCCTACATCAAGGATCCCAGCTATTAAAATGTCACTGAGAAAGTAAGCCAGTCCACTGACCTGAAGTTAGTGTGGCATGGGACTCAGAGAGGTCATCCTGGTCCAGGGACACATAAATATAGGCAAAGTTGATAAACATGGAGAGATTCTACATAGCTAATCATCTGACTTACGTTGGATTTGTAAGAAAAATGACACTCCTTTTCCCAACTCTAAGCCTTTTCCTTGACTGTCCCCCATGCTTGAAATGCTTTCCCTCTAACCTCCTGACTACCTTGGTTACTTTTAGTACTCAGATCAAATCTTCATACCCCCATCTCCTCCAACAGTGCCTTCCCTCTGCTATTATCTGCAATTTTCTCTGTTTGTATCTTGAATGTAGGGCAGCTAGGTGGCACAGCAGATAGAGAGCCAGGCCTGGAGTCAGGAAGACCTAAGTTCAAATTCAGCCTCAGAAGCAGTGTGACCCTGGGTAAGTCACTTATTTAACCCCATTTGCCCCACTTCCTCATCTATAAAATGAGCTGGAGAAGGAAATGGCCGCCCACTCTAATACCTTCACCAAGAAAACCCCAAATGGGGACACGAAGAGTCAGATGCGACTGAACAACAAAATCTTGAATGTACCTATGTATTTGTGTGTTTGTGTGTTGTCATCTTCATTAGACTATGAATTCCTTGAGGGCAGAGACTGTGTTTTTTACCCTTCGTATTCCCAGCACTTAGGCACATACATGCCTGAATTAAATGATGAATTAATCGATTGATTGATTCTTAACTGGGTACTATATGATACAGGACCAAAGTGTCTTTGTGGACAGTCTGATTTTCCTTAGTTGTTAGTGTTCACTCTCTTCTCTAATTCTCCTGCATACACTTACCTCTACACATATTACATCCCCAAGGAAGAATATAAATGTCAGGGCAGGGACTCTTTTTTTAAAAAATTTGTCTTTGTAGTCCCAAACGGCTAGCACGATGACTTCCAACTAAGAAATACATAATATATGCTTGTTAGATTGGATTTGGTATTTTCAGCATTGAGGCTTTGCTCATCATCACACACTTTTTTGGGCCTGGGTCTGGGTCTGTGGTTTCTTTGGTGCAAGGGACTCCCTCTACCATGTAAAGAGGCAACTATTCCTCGGCTTGGAAAGTCTGGGGCTCTCACTGAGACATTAGGTGACTTGACCAGTCACACAGCCAGCAAGTGCCTAAAGCCGGACTTGATATGTATAGCCTTATATGAGATTGTTATCGAAGTGATTGTTGATAAATCAAAATAAATTAATAAAAAAAAACGGACTTGAATTTGGATCTTCCTGGATCCCAAACCAGCTCATTACCCACTGCACCACACTGCTTCTCTACTTTGCCACTCCCTTTTCCTATTACCATTGTTTAGGGTCTGTCCTGCTGTCCATCCTCTCCTTTATCTAAAGGAAGGAAAGAAAAGGAATAAGCATTTCTATAGCATTAGGCACTGCGCTTGCACTTTACAAATATCTCATTTGATCCTTACAACAACCCTGGGAGGTAGGTGCTGTTAATATTCCCATTTTGCAGTTGAGGAAACTGAGACAGACAGAGGTTGAGTGACTCTCCCAGGGTCACAAAGCTAATAAGTGTCTGAGGCTGGATTTGCCTGTTATTGTCCCCACTTTATAAATGAGGAAATTGAGACAGAGGTTGAGTGACCCTCCAAAGATTACCCAGCTAGTAAATGTCTGAGGCTGGATTTGAACTCCAGGTCCAGCTTTCTATCTACTGTTCTACTTAGCTGCCTCAAAACAGGAAATGTTCTATTTCTGGTCTTTCATGCTGGGGGATCCTTCAGGTTACCCTTTAGAGCAAATAAGCTTTAGTCAAAGGTTACTTTTCCCCAAACATTTGCATTTGAAGCTTTTTACCTGTAAGTGCAGAAAAAAAATAAGGCTATGTAGCTAGAAAAAGAAATTTTAGGTAGTTGAAGAGGACTTTTTTTTTTGTTCTTGTTTTTGTTTTTAAGAGAAGTATGAAGGCCTCGTGCTGTACCCACTGCAAAGGCAGAGCTGTGACTAACTGTAACCCAGTACCTGGGACGAATTCTGTTGGCAAATGGGAGAAGGACGGTTGAGGTAGATGGTAGACATAGGTCATGAGATCTGAAGACAGTGAGGAACTCTGAGGGCAGGGTGTTTGAGGGGTACAAGTCTTGGGTGGAAAAATAGACTGTGGGCCAGGCACCGAACTTACTGGGGAGAAGGGAGAGTGGTCTAGAGGTCTCCAGAAGACAAGAAGAAGGATTGGGCCAGATGGAGTGAACTTTCAAGGACTAGAGGTCCTTGTTGAGCAGTGGTGGCAGATGGTAAGTCTAAATATGGCAGTAGGAAGCAGGTAGAATGCCAACTGGCCCTGTGCTTCAGGAAGTGCGAGGAAAGGACCAGCCTGCCTCTAAGAGGGGGTCAAGACATGTGCCATCCTCTCTTCTGTTGTCTTTGGTTTTTGAAACATTCATGCTTGTTAAGTTCATGATAAACAATTTTTTTTAAAAGGACTTAGATGTCAGTGAGTTACTGAAAATGAAGAGACTATAAGAGGAAGAGATTGTATCATAGGGTGGAATCCCACCTATGATAGGCATCTGAGACAAAACCCCAGCTGTCCCCTGCTAGTTCTGACTCTGTCTGAAAGTCTACCTGCTTTGATTGTTTCAGAGTGCCTGGGAAAGGGAGAGGGTGTGTGTGAGGAGGCAGGGCTGCAAGGAAGACGTTATCTCAGGATCTGGCAGAGTTGGAGAACTGAATGCCAAATTAGCTTCCTAGTCCTGGCTCTGTTACACAAGGTAACAGGGTCACAGAGAAGTACCATCATTGATTACCTCATCCCCTGTAAGATGATTTTCAAAAATTGGAAACAAATTGCCTCGTGGGAACTGAAAAGTTGTTTCCTCTGTATCTTTTGGAATATTTATCATCTTTCACAATTCATTTCCCCATTCCTAGTGAGGTATTCTTCTTTACTCCAGCCAGCAAGAGGATATCAGAATGAAAAGCATTCTAAGTCAGGGTTCCTTGCACCTTTCATTGGACTTAATAAGGTAATGTTAAAAATACTGAATAT